GTGTTCTCTTTTGGGATTCGTCCTTCTTTCTCCCATTGTAGGTTTCTGGGAGTGTTGGCATTCTGTATATGTTCGACACCCAATTGATTTCTTTCTTCGTGCAAGGTTCTTGATCATTCAGAGTCTGGTCCTTCTTGGCTTTGCAGTATGGCTCTGCATACAGGGCCGTCAACTCCTCTTCCTTCTTGAGCTAGGCATACGGATTTGGTGTCAAGGGTATGAGGGGAGTCTCCTGAACCTGCTTTCTGCTTGAGCTTTTCCTCTTCCCTGAAGTAGGCCATTTGCAGTTCGAATTTGGCGTCTCTCTCTCTTTTGGCCTTTTGTATGTATTCCTTTATTTCCTCCAGTGCCGCGTCTCCCCATGGTTCACACTCCTCTTCGCTGCTTTGTGCCCTGTCTTCTTTTGGATCCTCCAACTGGACCCTCTTGGTTGTTGATCTCTTTCGTTCCTATGGGTTCTTTCTTTTTTCTCCGACTGTTACTTTGTCGTCTTCGTCTGGTGCTTGTTGGTCTGCAATGGTTGCCCCTGGGATTGTTCCGGTGCTATCCGGTTCCATCCCTGCCGCTTCCTCTTGGTGGTGCGTTCGTGATTTTTGTGGTCCCCTCCTTGAGTAGGTGGTCAGCAGATTGTTTTCACCTGTTTCTGTCCCCATTTTTCTTTTTGTTCTTCTCTTCTCTTTCTCCATAAATTCTCTTTCTGCCATCTCGCCTGTTTCATTCAGGTCCATGAGCAGATCTTTGAGGCAATGTTCTTCTTGCATTCTTTCAAGGTTTAGGACTGGGTCCCTTGTGAAAATTTTTGTCGACTTCTTTTCAATTTTCATTGTGTGCCATTTGCTGTCTGAGGGGGGGTAGATGTCCGACCTAGGGGTCGGTTCACCTTCCAAGACCCAGACCCAGTCTGGGTTGGGTAGGTTGTCATTGAACACCCAGCCAATGTATTGAGCGTTTCTCACATACCAAAAGCCTGGTTCCCCTTCTACTTCCTCCAGGCTCGCCTGTTTCAGTGCTCTGGGTTTGGCGGTTTCTATGTTTCTCAGACAGCGGGGGTTAATTCTTGTGTGGCCTCTTTGCTTGCATTTGAAGCACATCAGATCGGCTTTTGAGGACACTGTGACTTTGATGGTCCTGCCCCTCGCAACGACGTACCAATACTCAAGCAGTTGTGGAGGTATACCGTTGTTGAGATCCAGGCAAAACGTCATGGTGTTGTGTTGCGGGACCAAGAAGTTTGGCGTTGCTATGATCCAGTCTATCACTTTGAATTGGCCATATTCCATTTGTAGGCGCTGCTTGATCCCCCCGTGCAAGCCTTCATGTACGTTGTCGAATTGTACCCAGAAGTATTTCTTCATGAGTTCTTGTTTGTAGCGAGAGGGCGTCATTTGGAAAGGGGTGTCCGGTTTCCAAGGGTGCACCGTAACCACTGAAGAATTGCATGTGAAGGTTTTGTTCCTTAGGAAATCTGCGTAAGATGGGTCTCTGCAGATGACCATGATCACCTTCCTGGTTCGGGGATGGAAGGAGATTTTTGGTTCAGCTCCTTGCATTGGTTCCAAGCTTTTGAGCTTGTCCCACAACCACTTCAGTTTGGCCGGGCGATTCAGTTCTTAGCTTTTCCTGGAGAAGGTGAAAAGCACTGCGTGCTTTTTATGAAACTCGTCCAGTTTCCTGAATGTGTTCCTTCGGGTATTAGTAGACCACTGCTTCTTCTCTTCTGTTCTTCTCTACTTCCACCAACTTCACTATTTTCACTAATTCAGTTTTGGTTTGCTCTGATAACCAATTTTGAGTGTCAATCCCCATCCCTACCATTGTGACCTCTAGACGATCCTCGGCTTCCCTCTCCCGTTTGCGGTCTAGATAGACGTTATGGAGCAAAATGGCCGAGTTCTCTCTCCCCCCTTGGGGCAGGGGGTTGATGTCCAGACCGGTTGTGAGTTGCAGATGAGTCAATCAGATGACTAGTTGAGGGTTGAGGGTGGGGCGAAGACGGAATTCGACTGGTTGGGGTGAATCTGAGGTGGTTTGGAAGCCCTGTTATTCCAGAAATCTTTGGCAGAGTTTTCCCTCCCCACTTGGGGATCGGGGTTGGTTTCAGGATGGAGTGTAATCTGCTGCTGAGCCGAACCGATGACTAGTTGGGGGGTCGACAGTGGGGCGAAGAGGGAATTTAATTAATGAAGGTGGGGCAAAGGGCGCGAAACGAAACAGCCTCGCTCGACTTCCTCGGGCCAGTGCTGTGTGATTGACTGTGAGTTGCCGAGCCCGAACCAGAATCGTGAAGAGCGGAAAGTAAATAACGTACCCTATTTGGAAAGCAAAAGGTTACCACTAGATGAATTCAATCCTTGAAATATTGAGCTCTCTTGTTGTAAATAAACATTAATTGGATTAGGTAATAACTGCAGTAACCCGTGTTCTGCAGAAGTCTGGGCCTCAAACGGAGCCCAGACTACACAGGCCAAACTCGGCCTGTGCCAGGCAGTGTGACCACGCACTGCCCTCGGAAAGTCAGCAGTCTAAGTCACCTGTCAAAGGTACCACGCCGAGGCCCTTGGTCGGATACACTCACTTGTTGTGCGCAGGTACCCAGACAGCATCAAGGCCACAGGGAGTTCAGTTTAGGCCTATCTGGGCCGTCATTTGCCTTGAGATCTCGACGGCCGAGGGAAGCAGCAACCGGGGTCCAGACCCCGCATCAATGCTACATAAGCATGGACCTCATGGCTTGGAGAACATTCTGTCTTGTGTCAATGCTGACTTCACGCGTCGACTACGACGCTAGTGCGACGCTGCGACGCCCTGCTGGCTCGGCATGGTGGCTAGCTGGCAATTGTCTTTTGGGCATGCTGACGTGGCAGCTGCCACGCCCCGCCGCTGACGTGGCCGCTGCCACGTATACTGTTGCTGACGTGGCGAGGCTACATGACTGGTATTGCTGTTCTGATTCATCGTCACTCGGGAGGAGATCATGACTGTGGGGCAATCGTAGATACGTACCTGGTTATTTCGACGTCGATATTGCCCCAGCTCGCTGATGAGGACTGATTGACGTGCCACGTGGCACATTCAGATAGAACTTCAGATTTGTGTTCGAACTATTGATTATTGAGGTGGCGAGCGAGGAGGGAGCCCGAAGCAGGAGTGGGCATTGTCTTCTTCTCCATTCTAAGTCTATTATCCCTCCTTTCTTTTTTCGCCTGTGTATGTTTCTCCCATCTCATTCTATCTGACACGATTATGATTATTGACAATCATCAGCAGGTTGATATCTATCTGGGCTTGCATTGTTGATAAGTGTCTTCACGATCTGGGTTCATTGCATAACTACTAATAAGTATAAATTGATTACATTTGCTTCATAGATCGTTGATTTATCGGGTCAGTACTGTGTGCTTTACAGAGCGCGGGCGAGTCCAGACAACTATTGTGAGGAGCAAAAATGTGGATACTGCGTTCTATTGAAAAAGGTTAAAAGTTACCGCCGGATGAATTCGATCCCTGAAATTGGGGTACGAATAGTGGGCTTTCTTATTGTAAGTAATGGTCAATTGAATTAGGTAATAAATATAAATTGGTTAAATTTGCTGCATAATATCGTTGCGAGCCTAGTCTTGGGTTGATTAGTTCTACGGTGGGTTCCTTCCTCTGTTGATTAGTTGTCCCTTTCCCTGCTTTCCTGCTCTAGGTACTAGTGGCTTGAGTTTTTTCTCTTTTTCGTAGGTCCGTTCTTGTTCTTTTTCTTCTTTCTCTTGTCGTGGAGTGAGTGATTGTTGATTGCTCGGTGTCGCGTCTCGTTTGTGTTATTCTTATTCCTCTTTGTTCCTAGTTTCCCTGAAAGTAGTGGTGCTATTGCCCGTCCTGGGGCTGTTCAGACTCGAATTTAATTCTATCTATGGCAAATAAGCGCTCACTGTGTCGGATCTACCGTGTTCTTGTCGCACTAGATTTTTCCCTAGTTGGTCTGGAGGCTTGGTACGATTACTCGCTTCTTTCGAATGTCCTTTGGTTTCGCGGATGGTTGTCGCTCTCCTCCTCCTGAAGGCTTGGGTTTTCTCCCGTCCTTGCGCTGTCTTGCCGTTGTCCCTGTCCTTTGTCCCTTGCGCCTGGTGGGGTTCGAGAAGAGGGCCTTTCGTTCTTACCTTGATTTCCGCGAGGGGACGCTTTAACCTTGTAGGTTGTGATGAAGGCGTGGGTGCTGCAGCGTCTTCTCTTCTTCGTCGTGTTGTTACTTTGTTTGCCTCGGGTGTCATTTTCCTTTGATTGGAAATGAGTTACACCTCCCATCTTTCCTTCTCTCTCCTTGCCTCTTTGTCTTTTCCTGTTCGTAGGTCGTTTCCCCTCTCCTTTTCTTCCTCTAGGGTCCCGTCCTTCCTTCTCTCCTTTTTCTCCCTTGTCTTTGCTTGCCCGCTGTGTCCTTCGGGGGGGACCGCGCCCTCAGGCGTGGCGTGTCGTGGCGACACGCGTATTCGCCCCTCTCGAAAATGAGCAATTTGGAATTCTGTCATTTCGCTATTGCTCATTTTCCTTGCATTTGACAGTGGACACTCATTTTCGTATGCTGCACTTCTATCCGACTGCTCACTTTCTCTGAGTTCAGTGTAAGTAGGTTGGTCTTTAGCTAATGGGCAAAAATTCATTGCCAACAAGAGGTGAAAGAAAGGGAAGGAAAAGAAAGGAAAGTTAGGAAACATAAGAAAACGAGAAGCTAATACAATGAGAAACAAATTGAAACAATTGCTTGCTTTTCACTGTGGTGGCTGTCTTCTTGCTGTGTTTTCTACACTTCTTTTATTGATTTCCAGGACAAGTTTCATTCATTGTGGACTTCCTCTTCCTTTGCTGTTTGCTATTCTGTTTACTTCTGCTCTCTTAGTCAGGGATTCTGATGGCAACAGGGTTTGCCTTGTCTTTTAAGTTTAGGCCATATAATTGTGTCGCATCTAATCTGACTTGGTGACCAAATCTCTCGTCTGTTTGACGACATGTTGACTCAGGTTCATGACAGGGCACAGGTCTATGTGGAGCCTGTAAAGAATGGCGGCGATCACAGGGGAATCGTAGAACCACTCCTGGTGAATGGGAACAGAAGCATGGAACTTTGTCAGAAGCGACGTCTGGTCCTTGGGACAATCCAAAGACCAGAGAAAGAAGTGACTCTGTTTGTTCCGCTGAATGTCCCACAGTATTCAGATGGTTTGATTCTGAACATCCTGGTAAGTTTGTTATCTCATCTTGGATCACATACATACAAAGATTGAAGTTCGAGTTTGCCCCTTGTTTACAAACCCTCACGAAGTCTTTGCATTCTTATTATCCTCTTTTGTTTTTGTTGCCATTCATGAACCTGAACAGGTGGAGAATCAAGGGCGAATCAACTACGGCTATCCGGACATGTATGACAAAAAGGTATGGTTCCTGCATCCCATTTCCCCAAATCTGTTATTCTTCAACTCGATGACTGACACTTCCTCTAGCTGTTTGCAACTTTTTTGCATCCACGTGACAGCACCATAGCATCTGGAACAACTCAACTCAACTTGACTCGACTGAACTCAGCTCGGCTCGGCTCAACTCGACTCAACTTTTTCTCGACTCGACACGTCTCATGAGTGTTGGTTTGACAGCTGGCAACTTTACATCGACATATTAGCACCATACCATGTGGAATCGAGTCATGCACATCGCAACGGCCACTTTTTCCTTCTCGTTTCTGTTAAGCCTTTAGCAACCTAACTGGATAGAAGTCTGATTGAGGGGCAGAATCCATTGGTGCTATGTGCATTCCTGGAAAGCATGGACCTGGCCGTAATACTGCCAGGTTTGTGCTTGCATAGCATGAACATAGCACCAGTAGGTCCTGACCCTCAGTGATTCACACCACACACAAAACACACACACACACACACAGACGCGCGCGCACGCAAGCTTTTGTCTTCATACGTATGATGACAGTCGACACTGCACTCATGTACGGAACCCTGACATGTCATGTCCAATTTGAAGACGGGCTCGAACGGCAAGGCCTCTACAAATGTGGTCGGCATGCCTCTGTGTTCCTAGCATGTAGGAGCCACGTAGCCTGTGACATCTGTCTACGTCGTGCCATTCGATGCAGTAACTGCGACTGCGAGGATTGGATGTGGTGCTTCCACAGGCCACACCCAAACCGATCCTGCCTGGTCTGTAGAGGTGGCCACTTGCCATAGGCACTTACAGTAGGGAACGACTGCTCCTTAATTCAAAATCTTATGCAACCCTAACACTGACTGGCCTCATGTGCCCTTCTAGAGTGGTCTGCCCCGGCGGTCACTATTTAGAATCCTGTGAGAACACCTCCCATTTCCTCCCTCCCTCTCTTGTGTATTACTCGTAAAGAACAGACAAAATATAAGTTGAAGATCTGAGAAGAAATGAACAGGAATATACCTCCGCCTCTGCCTTCTTTCATAGTGTGCAAGTGGGCCGTTATGGCAGACGGGGATGTGGGCAGCTCGCACTCAACCACAATCAACGTGGCGAGGCCGTTATGGCAGACGGTGATGTGGGCAGCTCGCACTCAACCACAATCAACGTGGCGAGCCGTGTACCTGAGAGGCACGGTAAAAGGGGAGCTGCAAGAACAAATGAAAGGGGTACCCCAAAGAAAGCAACCGTGAACACAATTAAGAAAGGGGTTTACATGCCTCTATTATACTTCATGTTGCTTGCTATAGAGGTGAAACTGTTTCATTGTTGGACTGTCTTAACTCAAGGGCTTGCATTGTCTGTAATAGGATTGAATATGCTTTGATTTTGGATCTGCTCATCTGGGTGGAATAGGGGCTGTTGTGGTGAAAATTCAAAACACACCCACACACACCCACCCACCCACCCACCCACACACACACACACACACACACACACACACACACACACTGTTACATGCCCAGTTGGGCGATGTACATAATAACCGAGGATCCAAAATGTGATAAAAAGGACTGAATGGACAATGCAGTGCAAGTAGAATCTCAACAAGCAATGCGCATTCCGATACATACAAAATGGTGCTTTATAGCGCAGGGAAGACTTTAGATACAAGTCCTGACCTGACCGGGACTGACCTCATTCACGTAGCACAAGATAGCGAAGCAGAATGCTAAAATGCAAATGACTAGCCCAATCAATGTTTAAACGCAGACCAAACATGCATCATGTCCATCCCAAGGTGTGAAGGAGCCTGGCGCTATACACAGGAAAGAGGCACCAGGTCCAGACATACACAGACGAAGAGGAGGGGATCAGACGAAGAAGAGGAAGGGGGAGATGGAAAAGTCGTCAACACCAAGTCTCGTTTCAAATCCCAAATAATCCCTCTTCGATATGTCTGAAGTCCAATGTCGAGTCTGGATCCAACTGTCATCAAGCTCTCTCTCTCTCTCTCTCTCTCTCTCTCTCTCTCTCTCTCTCTCTCTCTCTCTCTCTCTCTCTCT